CTTGTCTGAATCACTTTCCTTTAACTCACGTCTACACCAAGCATAAATCCTAAGTCTTACCAAAGCCTGAACATGAGCCAATAAGGCCAACCATAGCACACCTTTATCAAATCATCTGCTCAAATTACCACTTATATTATTTTCCCTTAGCCGAAATAGCCTATCAATATGCTAATAACCAGAAATCTCACAAATAGACGACCATGCAATCCAATCATAGGCGGTGGGACTCTCCCACTTAGCTTGAAGCCACTATTACACAACCCTCTAAGATTCTTTATCTCTTATTGACATGACCTTGCGCAATTAAACTGCCAGATTCCTCAAAAACCTTCCGTTAGCATTTCATGAACACTCTGAATCTCTAGCAACATTCACATGTTAGACCTCTTACCGAATAGCCAGTAAAATCCTTCGCAGGAGATTTACCAACCACGCGACCGCTGACCTGCCCACAGGAGATAACCCACATGAGCCTGTGCTCATTCACCAATTGCACAAGTCCATTCACTCCTCGTGGATATTAACTAAATGTGCGACAATATCTTCCAATTAAAAGTTATGTTGTATCCTTCTTCATATCAAGCAGCTCCTTTCCGTCATATCCAATCTCCCGCCGTATGCTAGCCAATATTTCAAATTAAGCTCGTAGACCCAATCACCGTCCACTAAAATTCCCAAATCACTCCAAACTTCCCTCAAGGGTGTAGATATCCTGCCACTGAATCCACGTGCTACTCTGTCACTCTCCCACTTTGGCCAAACCCTCTTCTTTAAGCAACTATTCGACTTCCTCTTCTTACACCTGGTTAAAAATTTAACCATCGCATGACACTTCCCACTTGTCCTTCCTTATCCTTTGATGCCTAGTTGTTGCCTTAATTAAATCTCTATCTTTGTAACATTTGAACTAACAAATCGTCACTAATTTGAAGATCATATTTCTCGAGCCATCCACATTAGAAACATCAATTCAATCCTGAACCACGCAGCCCACGATCTCTGACAACCGCTTCTCCAACAGTATTTCACAATATCCTGTCCCATAGGCGAATCGTAGAAGATCATAACACCGGCGAACTTAACACATCCACTCGAGGACAATGATACCACATCGCAGATGAAAATCCCACCACACTTGAAAACACCAAGTCTCGTTACTTCATCGATCCAAATCAGGACATTCATAGAACAATTGCTTTTCTCCGCCGAAAATAAAATACCGAACCTCTGAATCATGCACTGAGTAGCCCTCCTTTCAAGTCATTCACTGCCCCAACACATAGGCAAGTATCCTATCTTCACGTCAATATCTTGTGATAACCAATCATGAGCAATCATAAAAATCCGCACATAGCCTCAAGCTCTTAGAAGTGCAGCTACAGAGCTGAAATGATAGAATACTCTTCCGCAAGGCGGCGACAATAGCCCCAACCAACCATGCAGGGAGAAACATACCGCACCACATCTGTAGTACCATTACAATTCTTCAATTCTCGATTTATAATAAGCGCTTCGCATCACATAGGATTGAGTAGGAAGGAAACAAGGGCATAAGCCTCAAAGGAATCAAATCGCACGATGAGGAATCAAGAAGGGAAGTGCTCCTAACAGTCGTGCAGCCTCTCGAAAATAAGTACAGACGTCTTCCTACTGATCCGCAAGACTCTACTAGAATCACTCATGACTCGTGAGACCTACGGGAACCTAGTGCTCTGATACCATATTGTCACGACCCAAAATCCAACAAAGGTCGTGATAGCACCGGACACCGCTGTCAGGCAAGCCAACCATAGATACTTGATTTAATTCTCGTTTTAAAAATTTTGAAAACTATGATTTTTCCTTCAATTTAACTAGTAAAAGATAATCTTTACAAAATAAATAAAAGAATGCTTAGAAGTTATTACAGAATACCCCATAATCATCCTAGAACCCGGTGTCACAAGTGCATGAGCAGTTTCTAGGAAGTAATGTAATACAATAACTGTCCAAAAAATAAATTGGACAGAAAGAAAATACAGTACAATACTCCGAAGGAGACTTTGCTAGTCGCGGGTCGTCTCAAGAGGTGCAACTCACCTAAGTCTCCGTATCAACCATGTTGTTATGTCCGACTAGGCCACTAGTCATACATGTACATGTGCAACAAAAATGTACAGTAAGTGTAGCATGAGTACAAAAATAACGTATACCCAGTAAGTATCACATCTAATCTCGAAGAAGTAGAGATGAGAGGTCGACTTCGACACTCACTAGTGGTCCAATAGTGATGTATTAATAATGTGATAAATCATAGATTTTATAAGGCAATGTAAATTAATAAAACCTGAAGCTAGTAAACAATTCCTTTTTAATAATTAGAAGTTTCCAAATTTATAATCCATTATTTATCAACTTATCTTAGACCAGGGAGGCAATATCAAGTTGTAAATCTCAAGCAAGCATTACAAGCATGCGTAAATCATGTCGAGGTCGTACGGCCCGATCCAATAATATTTAAATTGTGTACTGCTAGAGGGTCGAATGGCGCGAACCATAGATGCATCTATTTAAATCTACCGAGGCGTTCGGCTCGTTCCAAAAATAAACACACACAGACAGTCAATCAAGAAGTCATCAGAGAACGATTGTCCAAAAGAAAAGCCAATTCTCTTTTAATGACTTAAGAAAATGAAGTTTAACCTTTTAGAAATTCATTTACTAATTCGATATGGTTCAAGCAATTCAGATTGTCAATATGGTTATAATTATTTCAAGTATAGCATGCTTTTGGGTCCTAGACTATCCGGACCTAAGCATAATAGTAGCTGCGCATGGACTCTTGTCACCTCGTGCGTACGTAGCCCCCATAAATAGAAGCACATAACCAATTATTTCACCAATGGGGACAATTCCCTCTTACAAGGTTAGAAAGGAGACTTACCTCGCTCCGAAGCTCTATAACCGGCATTCCACGCCCTTCCGAAGACTCAAATCGATGCACAATGCTCCAAAACTAGCCAATAATTTTGCAAACCCATTAATATATATTCAATTACTCATAATAATCCAATTTATAACGATTTCTAACCCCGATCGAAAAGTTGACAAAATCGCCCTCGGTCCCACATGCCCGGATTCAAAAAAAAATTGAAGATAAAGTTTACTCATGACCTCACGAACTCAAATATATAATTTATTCGCAATTCCATGCCCAAAATCGTGGTCAAAATTCAAAAATATCCATTTCTATGTGTTTTCTTCAAAACCCCAAATTTTTACTAATTTTTCATGTTAAAATCCGTATATAAACCATGTATTTAACCCACAACTAGTAGAAATCACTTACCTCATGATATATGACAAAAACCCCTCTTCAAAAGCTCCAAAAATTTCCCAAGTCGAGTGAAAAATGGATGAAATGAACTCAAACCCCGTTTTAAAACATTCTGCCCAGCCCAGGTCCGCCCTTCTTCGCGAACGCGGCACTGCCCTCGCGTTCGCGAATTCCAAAAATCAGCTTCCCAAAAAATTATCTTTCGTGAACGCGAGACCCAGGACGTGAACATGTAGCTTCACCGGGAGAACCCTTCGCAAACGCGTGCACCTTCCGCGAACGCGAAGGCTAAAAATTCGAAGACCCAGTATCCCTTTTTCTTCTACACGTTCGCGACTCCCCACTCGCGTTCGCGTAGGTTCCTCAAGCCCACCCTTCGTGTTCGTGACCTCCCCGTCGCGTTCGCGAAGGCCAAAACTCAGTAGCCTTAATATTCCTCTTCGCGAACGCGGAACTCCCTTCGCGTTCGTGAAGAAGGAAACCAAATACAGCAAATCAGCAGCAGCAAAACACCCAAAATTGGTCCGAAACCGCCATGAAACACACCCGAGGCCCCCGGGACCCCGTCCAATCATGCAAATCAGCCCCATATCATAACACGGACCTGCTCAAGGCGTCAAATTACATCAAACAATATCAAAATCCTAATCACCCCTCGATTCAAACTTAATGCATTTTAGAACTTCAAACTTCTATATTCGATGCCGAAACATATCAAATTACGTCCGATTGACCTCAAATTTTCCACAATTCATATTCGACATTATGGACCTACTCCAACTTTTGGAATCGGAATTCGACCCCGATATCAAAAAGTCCACTTCCGGTGAAACTTCTCAAAATCTTCAAATTTCTAACTTTAGCCAAATAACTCCAAAATGACCTACGGACCTCCGAATCCACTTTCGGACGCGCCCCCAATACCAGAATCACCATACGGAGCTATTATCAGGCTCAGAATCTCAAACGGACATCAATAACACTGAAATGCACTTCGACCCAAATTTATGAAATTCTTCCAAAAATGCTAACTTCCACAATAGGCGCCGAAACGCTCCCAGGTCATCCAAAAACCGATCCGGACATACGCCCAAGTCCGAAATCATCATACGAACTTGTTGAAACCTTCAAATCCCAATTTCGAGGTCGTTTACACAAAATCGTACTTAGTCAATTCCTCCAACTTAAGGCTTTCGAAATGAGAATTTTCTTTCCAATTCAATTCCGACTACGTGTACAAGACATAATACCTGAAGTGAAGCTGTCCATGACCTCAAACCGTTGAAGACGCACTAAAGCTCAAATCGACCGATCAGGTCGTTACATAAATATAGGCTAACTAAGTGACGAATTATAATCAAGTAGAAATAATGTGCATAGACTGACCTCTTTTCACCTTAGCTATTTATACTTTAAAAAAGTTTATAATATTTAAGGATCTAATGGGTTTAAGAAACCAATTTTTGATTTGAGGAAACCAATAATTTAAGACATTCTTTAAATAAAAGCTTTGGAAAGAAAATTTCCAACGTTAGATATTGTTAAAGGAAAAGACGATTTTAGCATGTATTCTTTAGAAAAATATTTAGCTGGAATTAAATATTTTGGGTTTATTGTAGTCTAACTCAATGGCATTAGAAAAGGTTTGATCAAAGTTTTTGGAAGAATCATTAAAAAAAAATTGTTTCTAAGTTCCTATATCTGAAAGCCACATTTTATGAGATTAAGATAGTACCAAATCTACACTAAGCAGTAAAGATTTTATCTAACTAAACACACTATGCTAATATGAAATTTGACATATAATCTCAAAAAAAAAATGGAGGCAAGCTAAAATCACACAAGCCAAGTCTAATAGCATGAATGATAAGGAAAAGAAAAGAAAGACGTCATAGGCGTCCTCAAGCGTTTTGCTTGTTTTCTTGTTATCCGATACCTTCTAAGAATAAGGGATGTGGTGACTCTGTGCGTGGATAAAGAGAGTCTCGCGTTAAGACTTCATGTGCTCCAAAGTGTACATGTAAAGGAAGAGAGAAAATAAGAATTAGAAAAGCAAAATAACTGTAAAATAAGACAAATCTAGACTGTATGAGTATTCAAGCTTCCACATACACATGTCAACAGTTAGCACAAATCTGAGCTAAAGCAAATCTTGAAATCATTTGATCGCCTAACTGATATTTAGGTAATTTATCAAGTTTCATGCTTTCAAGATCCAAATAAATTATATTCTTCCATTTTTACTTAAATAGTGTCCTAAAGGTAGGTTCTCTAATACAAAGTAGTATTCCCAAGTACCACGTTGAAAACAAGGTTCAAGTATAAAGAAATCAAGTCACGGGGCTATGTATCATCACTTATCACATAACTAAACATGGTTTCTTGTTACTGTAACCGGTCAAATAAAGCAAGGATCACAACTTTGCGTATTGATATAATTTTCTACATCATATTTAACCTTCAACTCAAATAAACTTTTGTCGACACATATATTCATCATCTCTAAAATATGAGATGAAAACATACATATTTTAGACCTACCATATTTGACATGGCAAAATTTTAATGTATCCTATAAGCACAGTTACTGACATTGAAGTAAAAAAACTTAAACGTCATGGTTCTCCAAGTGATAATTGTTGATACCCAATTTTTCCATATAATATATTTTCAAATGCATGTATGCCTTCAAAACTATGCACTAGCATCAACTAATATTTTTCCATGATTTTTACATTTTTTAAAGGGTTTTAATTAATTTATCCCAGTATCTTTATTTATATAAACAATTACTAATTGCATCATAAATGACTTTATAGCAATTTTTATGGCTTAGTATTACTATTTATATTTATACTAAGATTTAATTATTTCATAAATAGCCACATTTATATTTTTGAGTTATAATTGCAATAACTTTACAATAATAGCTCATGTATGTATTATTACATTATTTTACTAGAAAATAGCTTTTTATATTTTTTAAATACTAACTAATTATTTTAAAACATTTCTAGACATGGAAACCATTTTTTATAATATGTTAATTATTTTTAAAAACTATTTTTATCAATTAAAGGGGTATTTAACAAATAGCCTTCTTTATTTTTGGATCTAGCCTAATTAAAATGCCTAAATTCGGTCCTAACCAGCCCAAATCTACCCCATCCCAAACCAATAAAATTCGACCCGGCCCCAAACCCTTTTAATCCTGGCCATTGATCACAGAGATCAACGGCTACCATCACCCCTTTCCTTTTTATCCCCAATAACCCCTAACCTTAATTCATTTACACAAAACAACCGCCATAGAATCCCTAATCCTCTCCATCTCTCTGAGACCTAATCCTAACCCTAGCCGCCGCCACCCAAAACTAGCCCTAATCCCTTTGATTCCTATTCGATCCATGGATTTCCATGGTTGTTTGAGACTTCTATTTGTCTCCTACGTCTTCTGGTTGCTCGTTCTTGCGATCTCATGAAAAAATCTCGAAGAGATCTTATCCAAGACTCCCTAAGAGTTCACCTATGGTCTGTGAGTGCTTTTCTATTGACGTTTACGGTGCAAATCTTTGGTTCAAGGCCAGATCCTCTTTACCCTTTCCTTTTTCTTCAAAAACCCTAATGTTTAGACTTGAATCTATCCAGATCTGGAATGATTCTGAGTTCATCACTGATTTTTTCTTTAAGATTCTCTTATTTCTCTATTGTTAACCGATTTTTTAGCACTGTGTTACGAAGGATTTTTGGTTTCCTTGTTATTTGCTATCTGAATCTCTGCATATTTGAAGTGTTTCAAGTTTCCATGGTTGTTTTCTTTAAGGGTCCTCTGATTTTTCCACTATTAATCAACTTCGGGTATTTTTTTAAAAATTAGGGTTTTGGCTTCGCAAAAAGTTTTCTGAGATCCTTATGATTTGTTTAATATTTCCCGCATGATTATGTTTCTGGTTCAATTGTCTGACTATGCATTGTTTGATTTCAAACTCTTGTCCGTTATTATTTGAAAAATTGACTGATTAGCCTAAATTATCTAGGGTTTCATTTGTTTATTGAAGCAATTTACTGATTTCTGGTTGTTTCCCTTAATCCTGAGGTTCTTGATTTACGTCTCTTGCCTATTTATGGGTTAATTGACCCTTGATTGGTCTCTGATTACCCGTATTGCTTTATGTGTGAAATTGATTACTTGATTTGAGGGTTCTAACCCTAATTGATTGATAAACCCATTTCTTACCTTATTTAAAATTTAATCAGAGTTATTTATGGGTATAACTCCCTAATTTTCTGTCCCCTATCAAGCTTGATTGATTACTTGATTACTTCCTTACCTTATTTTGCAATATTTACCTTCCTGCCTTATTTACTTACATTATTTGACTCCTATATATACACTCTTGTTTTACCTCTCAAACACGAACACAATTCATAAAGAAACTCTCACTCACACACATACTTTACTCTCATCTTGATGCTACTTGTATTCACTACATTGTTTAGCCGGTTGAAAGCCAAGGCTAGACCACTGAGTTTTGCATATTCTTATCTTCTGTTTGTTGTCTTTAACTGGTATGTCTCCCCTCTTAATATCCTTTCACATGCATTTAAGCTATATCTATGTATTTTCCTATTCATTGCCCTGACTATTTCTGTGTAACCAAATCTATGCCTTCTCTTGTTTGTTGATCTCAATTAACATGGTTACTTCTATCTTTAAACTTCTGCTTTCTTGTTTATTGCTGCAATTAGCATGATTACTTTTGTATTTAGGTCTTACTGCTTTAGTTCTATGTCTTTCCTGTCTACTGCTTTAAGTCAGCATGATTACTCCTGTTACTATGTCCTACCCAATGCTATATAATCTGGCCCTTTTAAACTTATGTGTTTGATGTCTATTACTTCTAATCAGCACCATTAGGTCCTACTGAGTGCTATGAAATCTGGCTGTCATAATATGCCTACTTGATTGGTGTTAATTAGCATGCTTCTCACCTTGTTTTATGTATTCCTAATTCAGGATTCCTATGTTCCCAACCCCTGCTCCCTTCTCTGTGTAGTTGTTATTCTCAACATGCTATATGCCACCTAGTGTTAACTATGAACTAAGCTAAATCCGGGCAATGAAATCTTTGCTTTGAAATTTTGTGACCATGTTTCTATTTTTGTTTGGTTGCTGAAACCTTTGCCTCAGAGTGCTGCAATGACTCTGTCTACTTCTAAACTATCTTCTTAAAACTATTCCTATTTTCAAACACTACTCCTCTTCTTAGAACACCTAGGGTCTTGCCCCTCTAGTGTAAGCATTACTTAGGAGTCCCTGAGGCTCCTCTGAACTTTGACACACTGGAGTTGGCTTCCTAAAACTTGCTCATAATAGGTTACTTTGAAGGTTTCCTGGTGTGAGCATTGCACGGGGTCCCTGATACCCTTGGGAACTTTGACACACCAGGATACTATTGGATGCACTCTGAGGTTATAGCACTTTTGGCATCTTTGAAGGCTTGGGCTGCCAGGTTTATCTTTTGGGCATATATTCAGGCTCCCTATAGTTGTAGCAATTTCGCTCCTGTAATTTATTATTAATGTTGGTCTGTAATAATAATTTTTCGTAAATAGATATTGGAGAAATTAGTAAAAGGGACGGTTGCTTATACATATCCTGTTGGGAAAGGGTAGATACCATGCCTATAGGTTGTTACAATATCTTGTCTACCTAGATACCGTGCCTATAGGTTATTACAATATCTTGTCTATCTATATACCATGCCTATAGGTTGTTATAATATCTTGTCTACCTAGATATCATGCCTATAAGTTGTTACAATATCTTGTCTACCTAGATATCATGCCTATAAGTTGTTACAATATCTCGTTTATTTAGATACCATGCATATAAGCTGTTACAATGTTTGGTCACTTAGATATCATGCTAATAGGATTCAAAACTTGATCCTGCATTCTGGATAACATGTCTATGGTTTTGCTGCGATATTTGCTTAGATATTATGCCTATAGGGTTTTAAAATTAATCAGTCTTGCCTGGAAAAGATCAGTTTCTGCATACTAACAATGTTTAAATCAGTCTTCAACATGTTTTAAAACTAACCACTGCATTTAGATGTCATGCCTATAGGACTCTAAAAACAATTTCTGCATTTAGCTGCCCACACTTATAAGTCTAAAACCAGTTACTCAGCGCATAGATCAGCATGCCTATAGGACTTAATAAACTCAAACTGTTTTAAAATGGTTTTGGGATTTCTAATTGCATTTAGACAGCATGTGTATAGGGTATTACAGATTCACCCCTCGGCAAGCCTATAAGTAATCAAGGTCTAATAAAAACTATGAAACTGCTTTGCTTATTTGTGACTGCCCAGATTCAACAGATTCTAAAAATTAGTAGGCAAACTGATTAGGTCTCTATCACTTGCCTTAACTCAACGCTGAATATTCTCTGCTTGTCATGCTCACCTAGATATCCTGTTCTAAGGCCTTTCTTAAATATCTAAAATCTATTGTTTGATACGTGCACTTACTTTCTCTATTTGTGGAGGTAAAATGTGAGCCTTTTAATTGTTCTATCTTTGGTCCAATCCTACATGTTTTGTTTGTCGCATAGAGTTTTCTCCTTTTAATTACTGTAGGAGAGTCTAGATCCACCTTAACTAGAAGTCCTGAATACCTCCGGGACTATATAAGTAAAGGGACAGGTAGTGCACGCAGAGGATACATCTTAAGGTTGCTAAAACGTTTTAGGCTATGACCGAGGAGAGGGTAATTGGGTAGTAAATGATATGATGACATGTGTGCCAATGCCACGTTTAACCCCTCTAATTGAAGAAGGCTTACCAGGTATTGTACAAATGTGATCCTATAGGCCGACAAACCTAGGACCTCCCTCATCTTATATGTGCTTAGACTACTTATTTATTAAAATTCCTTTATCGTACATATGTACTTAGACTGCTTATCTGTCAAATTTTCTCCATCTTATACCTGTGCTTAGACTATCTATTTATTAAATGACTAATTTACATAACTGAGTTCGGTTGGGACCCACCGTTGTGGACCGCGAGGGGTGCCTAACACCTTTCCCTAAGGTTATTTCGAGCCCTTACCCAATCTCTGGTAATGCAAACCGGTTTTCATGAGTTATTTACTCTAGGTGCCCTAACGCACCTTAAATCCGTTAGGTGGCGACTCTTCAAATTCTAATACCCAATTCCCAAAAGAAAATGAATTGTTCCCAATGAATGTCGAAACCCGGACTCCGCGAGGTAAAAGGGGGCGCGACAACAATAAGGGGGACGAGATGAACAAGCAGATTTCACCAAGCAAATAAACATTTCATATACCTAATACAGTTTTGTGTATGAGAGCACGATATCTAGAACAACAGTGGATCAAACTAAAATTTGTCCTAAAAGGCATATAAAGACAGATTTTACCGAACAATAAAAGTCTCATTCACATATCTACAAACATTTAAGTACATAATATCCTAACTAATCTAAATAAATACGTAGCAGATGATTAAGAAACTATTGTCATTCCACCTGTCTTAAGAACATGATTTCTAACACTAAAATACTTGTTGATAATGATAAAATAATATAGGTTCAAACTCTACAATCCAACTACAACTAAAAACGAGATTAAAGAAGAAAATAGACTGACCTTATGTGGTGCAGTGAACAAGGGCTTAAAGGTCGCTTCAGATCTACTCTTTTGGATTTCGAATTGAAGCTTGAGAAAGAGACAGAGTACAAAATATTAAATGTATAAATGTGATTTTTTAGATTCCAGAATGTCTTCTTCGGCCGAAGGTTTTAGGAATATTTATAGGAGAAAACGATTAGGGCTTTTGGGATTTGAAATTCAAAATCAAACGTAGAGGGGAGTCACGGGTTGCTTTAGGCTCCAAAAGAGTCATTTGAGAGGAAATCTTCATGGCTGACCATTCTTTTCACCATTTTGGTGAAGCTATGCTCTGTCATGTGGAAAACAAAGCAAAAGAGGAACTGGAGCTGGAAAGATTTTCTAAAAAAGGGAAAATTTCACGTGAGGAAGAGATAAAGTTGAGAGATTTTGTTATTTTGACCAAAATTAAAAATGATGGTTATTTTGGTCATTGGGGTTTTCTAGAGGATTCCTAGACTTGGGCTTGATGTTTTGGGTACAGGTAAAGGGATTAAATTTGGTAATGGTATGATTTCATGAAGGGTTGTTGAATGAATTATTTGGGGGGAATGATCTGCTTAATTTCTTAGGCCGAAAATTCAAGCCATCTTTTCTTCTTAAAATTAATTTAATTGGGATCCATGCCTTAATAATTTGGACTCAATAAAAATACTTTCAACATATATAATATTAGATATTAAATAAATGATTAACTCAATAATAATCATATTAATGGTAATATTAATAATCATGTTAATAACAATGACAATATTAATAATAATAATAATAATAATAATAATAATAATAATAATAATAATAATAATAATATTGACTATAATAGTAGTAATCAATAATTATAACTATAATAATAGTAGTAATAAAGGTAACAAATAAATAAAAAAGATAGAGCATTAAATTATTAATGACTAGGGAGCACGTGAAAATTAATCAGAAGAAAAGTAGGTCAAAATTAGATATCAACACCAACATGTCGTCTATATATACTTCCATGATTTTTCCGAGTTGATCTTTAAATATTTTGATCACCAGCCTCTGATATGTCGCCCCTGCATTTTTCAACCCGAACGACATAACCCTGTAGCAGTACGTCCCCTGGTGGGGTGATGAAAGTAGTTTTTTCCTNAATAATAATAATAATAATAATAATGACTATAATAGTAGTAATCAATAATTATAACTATAATAATAGTAGTAATAAAGGTAACAAATAAATAAAAAAGATAGAGCATTAAATTATTAATGACTAGGGAGCACGTGAAAATTAATCAGAAGAAAAGTAGGTCAAAATTAGATATCAACACCAACATGTCGTCTATATATACTTCCATGATTTTTCCGAGTTGATCTTTAAATATTTTGATCACCAGCCTCTGATATGTCGCCCCTGCATTTTTCAACCCGAACGACATAACCCTGTAGCAGTACGTCCCCTGGTGGGGTGATGAAAGTAGTTTTTTCCTGATTTTCTTCCTCCATGTGGATCTGGTTGTAACCCGAATAGGCGTCTAGGAAATTTAATAGCTCGTGCCCGGTCGTTGCGTCGATGAGTTGGTCGATATAGAGCCATGGGAATGAGTCTTTCGGGCATGCTTTGTTCAGATATGTGAAGTCCACGCACATCCGCCATTTTTCGTTTTTTCTTTTTTACCATGACCACTTTGGCAACCCATTGGGGATATTTTGACTCTCTGATGGAGCCATTCTCAAGCAATTTTTCCGCCTCCTCGCGGATAGCATCATTTATCGTGGCATTGAATTTTTGTTTTAACTTGCCGCACTGGGGGTGGAATGGGTCAATAGTTAGTTTGTGTGTTGTTAGCTCCTTTGGGATGCCCGGCATGTCTGCATGAGAAAAAGCAAACAGATCTACGTTATTTTTTAAGAACTAACGGAATTTACCTAGTTCTTGGAGCTTGTGGCCGATAAATCTTTCTTGTTATGGTCGTTATCATCGAGTTGGATGGGGTCGAGATCCTCTACGGTTGACCCTGTGGCTTCTACTATTTCAGGGTCTCTGATAACGTCTTTCCCTTCACCACCATCTGACCCCGACTTCACTAATCGATATGCCTCTTCGGCTTTGCCTTTTAGTTGTTGGGTGTATGTGAAGTCTTGGGCGATGCGGTAGCATTCTCGGGCACTGCATTGCTCTCCTCGGATGTTGAATACTCCCCAAGGGTGAGAAATTTGATGACTTGATATAAGCTGGAGAGGACGGCTTTTATGGCATGTATCCAATGTCAACCTATAATGGCATTGTACATCGTATCCTAGTCCATAATGTGGAATATGGTCTCCAAAGTGACACCGCCGGCCAGGACGGGTAGTGTGATTTCTCCGGATGTCTGCTCGAGTGCATTATTAAAACCAGTTAGTGTGATACAGCGTGTCACTATCCTATCCTCAAGCTTCATTTGTACGAGAACTCGAGGGTGGATGATGCACGTGTCGCTCCCATCATCAACCATAATACGTTTTACATCAGTATCTAGGATGCGTAAAGTAATGACAAGAGCGTCATAGTGAGGAAAAATCAAATTGTAGGTATCCGACTTATCGAAGATGATACTTTCTTCGAGTTCGTCATACCGTTCATGAGTGATTGACCGTTTGAGTTTGTGGGTGGTGGTAAACTTCACGCTATTGATTGACGTATTGTCGCCCCCTCCGATGATCATTTGAATGGTTCGAGCTGGGGAAGGTGGTTTGGGCGGTCCCTGGTGATGTTCATGTGCTCGGGCGAAGTTGGCTCTCCCCCGTCGCTCATCAGTTCTTTCAAGTGCCCTTGGTGAAGCATGTTCACAACCTCCTATCTTAGGGTGATACAGTCCTCGGTTTTGTGACCCCGCTCCTGGTTGAATTTGCAGAGGGCGTTTGACTTTCTGGTGCTTAGGTCGATCTCATCTTCTGCGGTCACTTCATTTTTGGGCCAAGCTTCTCTAGTGCGTAGACTATTTCTGAGGGAAAAATACAGAAATTGTGAGTAGATAATAAAGGGTACCTCTCTCACTTTGGTGGGTTCCCGTTTGTGTCCTGGATGGGATTAGTCATGGCGTGGAGGCGGCATGAGGATGCCTCTGACATAAGACTGATGTCTTTCCCGATTAGGTCGGGGCCCCATTAGATCTCTCCTGTTGTCATTTCTCCGGTCCTTCCTGGACTCCATTTGGACTGAGGTCAACCGGTTGGTAGGTCCGTTGAGGTCGTCCTCGTCAGCCCTTACCTCGGCACAATAGGCATTGTGTATCTCGTCCCAAGTGGTTGGAGGGTATTTCATGAGTCGGCTTAGCAATTTTTTGGTCGCCCTCGAACCACTCCTACTTAGCCCATTTTGGAAACCAGCTATTGCCATCCCCTCCGATACATTTGGAATAGTCATTCTTACATGGTTGAATCGGGCAAGGAAGTCCCAAAGTCCTTCGCCAGGTGATTGTTTAATGGTGAATATGTCGTTCACCCTCGCCTCCGCTTTATTAGCCCCGGCATGGGCGGTAACGAACTTGTCTTCCATCTCCTCAAATGTTTCTATGGAACGCGCAGGTAACTGTAAGTACCAAGTCAACGCTCCCCCGGTTAGGGTTTCACCAAACTTTTTCAGCAATATGGATGACACTTGTTCTTTGGCGAGGTCGTTGCCTTTCACTGCAGTGACATAGTGGGTCACATGATCCTCAGGGTCCGTCATGCTGTCATATATTTTTAAGTACGACGGCTTTTTGAAGGTTTTAGGTATGGCATGTGGTGCAGCCTCGTCACTGTACGGTTGTTCCACGAACCAGCTGGCATCCCATTTTGGCAAAAGTTTTGGGGCACCCGGTATTTTGTCTACCCTTTCTTGGTGCTCTTTCATTTGGCTACGGAGTATTTTGTTCTCGTTTTCCATCTCATCCATCTTCCTCAAAATATCTGTGAGGGTGTCGTTACCTGCATCACTAGCATTGTGAGTAATACATGTTACAGGGGGGCGTGCTGCTCGTTAGCTACTGATGCGAACCAAACCTTTGCCTCTTCTCCGTTCGGCCTTTGAGCGGGCTTGTCGAGGAAGCTGGTTAGCGTGTTTGTCAACCACGCCTCGAGTAGCTTTTTCGCTGCCGGTGGTGCCTCTTCTATTGTGGATGTAGAGGCCCCTTTACCGTGTGAGATCATGATGTTATCGTGAGTGAGGGGCGAGCTGTTTCGCCTGGGAGAGGTGTTTGGTGTTACATTTTCGCCCTCCGTTTTATTCACTTCGTTGATGGTGTGAAGGAGGGTGGCGGTGAGGTCAGCTATCGCTTTCCTCTTTTCCTCTTTGTTGCCTGCCATGTTAGATTTGTGCACACAAGAAGGTATAGGGGTTTTGCCTTTTTTTAGATCTAGAAAAAACTAAAATTTTAACTAGAAAATCCCCATAGACAGTGCCAAATTGTTTGACCAAAAAGTGTGAAACCTTTTTTTAAACTAATTAAATGAGAAGATAACGGGTAAATCCTAGTTAAATGTAATAATTTTCAAACATGTTAGTACGAATAACGTAGGATTGCACTAAACCCAATTTAATACAATGTATATTAAATAATGTTGTTATGAATGAGTGGGGAATAATGATAGGCAATAAATACATTAAATGACACTAAATGTAAATAGAGAGAATGATTCACTCAATATTGAATGAGATGGATGATTACTCTATCTGACAATGATGTAAGACAAATGAATATGAAAAAATCGGGAGCTTTCTCGGATTTGATGCGAGAAAGATGAGATAAACAGCAAATCGAATTTCTATGGAAAGGTTTGTATTTTTCTAGAGAGACAATTTTTCATAAGAGTTCTTCTCATATAGAATATTTCATGCCCATTTTATTCTCTCTACCTTTCTATTTATATGGGACATACCCCTTGCCTAACCTAAAGTACAGGTGCAGAAAATATTCAATAGAAAATTCCCCTAAAATATCTTATTACAGAACTAGCCGTTATTACTGGCCTAAATACCCGACCTCGGCCCCAATTATTCAGCTCGCCAGTAGGTTCTTTTAATCTTGTGTACGATCTCGGCCTAATCGCCTCTTAGTAATCTATCCTTGTGCTAAATTTCCTTAGTCAGATTTTGACCCATACACTCAAGAACACTAACCTGCTGGCATCTTTGAGAAAAGAGAAAGAAAAAAAAATACTCTTCTTGTAAAGCTAGTGTATGATTACTTTATAGTTGGATCGGAGTGGGATAGGAAAGTCTATAAAATCAGCTTGGCCCGCAATTAGCCTTTTGAAGAGGGATATCTTGCTTGCCACACAGGTAAAGTTTGGATTTCAAGTCCCATGTTGAAGCCTTGGATAAAATTTGGCAACAGCAGGATAATGCTGAATATAGTAGAATGAGCGGTGGTGTATTTGATGCTTTTGAATATGGTCACCATCTGTGCATTCTTACTGAGTTTAAGTTTTATGCCGAAGTGAATTATTCAGGATTTGAAT